TAAAGCTCTTTCAACTTTTTAAAAAATTTGTTGTAAGTTCATTAGAATGCAACAAATGAGGTAGAGGCTTTGATTGTTGCGTGAAGCCTAGTTAGCGTTAAAAAATAATTGGAGGAATCTTGTGGTTGCAGTATTTTTTTTACCACAGTATTACCTTATATTTACGGCAAAGTGTGGTAGACTTTCAACAGTTCTATATGAGATTTATTTTTGCAGTTCTTGAGAGTCATCTACCTTCTTGGTACTTTCATGTTATCTTTTCTGATACTCTTTGAATTTCTAGCCTTTTTTGCTGGTCTCATTATTTGCAAAATTTTCATTAAAGCTGGCTGCTTAATATGTATTGTCGTAAGGACTTCTTAATTTCAACAGGCTTTTCTTGTCGACTGTCAACGAATGCTCGTTAGTTAACTTTCAAAATTTCCAAAGTTTTTTAAAATTTTCCTCCGTAGTCAGAGGTTTAGTTGGATTTCTTTACTTCAGCTGTCTGTTCTTTTTGGCAAGAATTCCTAAAAATTTATATTTAATAAAGGTCACTTTATTCGAGTTTCTCTTCTGTGCAGTCGATTGTAGTTAGCATGTAGTTTGGTGCTAGCTCATGAAAATCCTTTGATAATTACAAGAGCTATCTGTCATTAAATAAGCGTAAAGGAATTTTTAAAAAGTATTAATTTATACTTATGTTTATCAAGTAAAGCTTCAAAAGATTTCGTATTTTTGGCTCTGGTCTTAGTGGCCTGCTTTGACTTTTTTCTTTTCGAAGTAGATTTTGGATAAATAAACGTTTCTGTTAAAGACTTTTTTTTGTTGTTGTTAGAAAGTGATTCTTTTTTGTTCTGTTTTTCAGCGGTGGTCTCTTTTCAAAACGAGTCATATAGATTTTGTAAGCAAATTATATTTTTTTCTTCCGCTTTTTAGATTATTCTCTTTCTTACTTATCACATTCAAACTTTCAAACCTATTCCAGCGCTTTTTTTCAATTTTAGCCTTACTTATGAAACAACTATACTTTGATTGTTCCGTACTGGCTACTTTACGTTAACTAGGGTCAGAGAACGTTTTTTAGTATTTAACGCTATCATTTTTGTAGTTTTCTGAAATAATTTATATTTTTTTAGATGCCAACGTGCTTGAAAGATGAATTTGATTATAATCCTTTTTTGCGACTTGGAGAAGAATCGGTTGTCAATGGATTAGAGAACTTAGGCTATACAGTTCCTCCACCAAGAACTCATAAGGGTCGTGCACGTTTAGATCCTGATGTTGTCGACTTCAATCGCAAAGTGGATGTATTACGCGTCCTTCGGAAAGCTAGGGAAGACTACGAAACAAAAAAGAGGAAGCAAAAAGTGACAAAAATTTCTGCGTAACGGTTGCGGAGGACATATCCTGATGGGCTAGAGAGGTTGAAATTTTTAATTTTATTGAATGTTTTTGAACAAGTTTTTTTTAGATTAAAATCTTTTCTGACGGCAGAGAATGGCTTTTTTAGTTATCAGAAAAAATCTAGTTTTATTGTTCTACTATTACTTAGGGCGGTTACGCTTTTTCCGACTATGGCTAGAAACTGTCACTGAGTGTCGGGGTAAAAAAAGCCATTTGTTAAAAGGATTTTCGCTTGTTCCTTGTTGCTTGTTGTGACATGGAGACCGCAATTTGTTTGTTGGTTAGAGTAAGCTAATGTTAACATATTATTCCAATATTTCATATTTTTGGAGGATTTGTTTCAGATGTAAAGACCTGTCTTTACTAAACGATAACCATTTATAATCATATTGCACATTCCAGCCTGGTTTCAATACCATCTAATCCACATTGCTCCAAAAACTGTTTAAGCGCTGAAATGTGCTGTTTAAATTTGATGTCTGCGGTATATTTGGTGTGCATAGTTTCAGAATTTATCAAAAAGAAAAATTGGTTGCATGTAGCGGCAGCGCGGTAGTGTTAGCAGATTCCTGAAAGACTGAATGCGCAATAAACAAGAGGTATCAAATTAGGTTCTGCGGAAGCGGTCGTTTGGGTTTAAGAACATATGTAATACTTTGTTTCGTCAGGTCTTTGGAGGCATTTAGCTTTAACGACATTCGATGGTCAGTATGTCATCTGTGTTTGCTTTTTCCCCTATTATTGTCGTTGTTTTTTTTTTTTTACGTTGTTGCTGTTGTTGTTGTTTTCTTTAATATCGTTATTTTTGTAGCCGTTTTCTCCTCTTTGAATTAAAGAAATAAAATTCGTATTTCACTCGGAATTTTCACGGTTTAAGCGGTATTTATTTATTTATTTGTTCTATTTCTTTATTCGTTTCTTCTTATTCTAATTGATTCTACATAAGTTGTGACTATTTTCATGATTTAGGACTCAATGACTATAACAGGAATTCTTTTTACTACACGACAGGTCGTTCTAACTTCACAACTTACGTTTTATTTTTACTTATTATTATTTCTTTGCTATAAGCCAGTTTGTATATATTAATTAAATTTCGTAGTACCTTGTCGGGTTCTTCTCCTTTCTTTTTTTCCCACCTTTTTGTTTTGATTGGATATTGATTGAAAGTTTTCCTTTTATTAGGCAGTGGAGGAGGAAGGGGAAAAAAACCATTTTTAATTTGGATTTGACACCAAGCATGTTTGTTTTTTCGTTTAGACATATCAGAATTTAAATTAACAGTTAAGGACGAAATTTTTTCATTTAATCTTCCTGTTTTTTTCTCATTTAAATGCTTACGCATCTTTCAAATATATTCCATTTTGGTTCACGTGGAATTACTTAATATTATTGAATTTCCCTTATTTTTTTACCATTTGGTTTTGCTGTCTTATGTGTAATGGTTATTTGAACATTATTAAAGATGCTTTTTATTAGTGGTTCCTTATCGTTAATCATTTTGGTTGGGGTTTTTTATTTTTGATTTGTCGTTAATTTGACTTGAAGTGTGCTATGAAAGTTTTCTTCTGGCAATATCATTTTCTTTTGTGTGTGTGTGTGTTTTGTGTATCCATGTACATATTTGTTTGTTTTCAGTTTATTTCTGCCTATTTATGTGTAAGTGAGCTGTGTGATCTTTTGTATGTGGGTGTGTGTATATAGATAACGTTATAATGGCCTTTGAACTATTGTCAGTGTTACTTTCATTGAGCTACTTTTATAATGTTATAGCTTATCGATATCTCTATCTGTGTATGTTTGATCATCTGCTTGTTGAAAGAAGTTGAAGCTTAAAGCATTGTTTTTTATATATGAGTACTTGTTGCAGAGGAGGCACGTTCGTAAGAAGGTGAATATTGCATTTTTTGAGTCGACTGAGTTTGTGGCTATTTACCATAAGCTTTTGGTGCACTAGCCAAGACGAAATTATGTGATTATTTTTTGTGGTAAAGGTCTAAGGAATTGACGAGTGGTAGTATATTAGTAATACTGATTAAAGGAGGACTCGTGACAGGTTGTATACTTTCAGCTACCGTACGTAATTCAGAGTTGAAGGATGTGCTGTATAGGGCAATTGGGGGAGTGGTTATAAGGTTGATGAAGATTTCAATGGGAGTTGACTGAACAGTTTCCGCACATTGTGTTTTGTTGCGTGTGTTTGTTTTTTCAAATTTTCGAGGAGGAAGGAAGGTATGACTCATTTCGAATATTATTCTTTTAAAAGCAATTGGTTCTTGAGTAGTCAAAAAGTTAGGGCATTGTGTTGGTTTGTCTGTCGATAGGTCGCGACTATACCTGCGTGGTTCTATTTCTGATTTGAGGGCGGTCGCTCTGATGCACATTAAACAAGTCGGCTTGTTGGAGTGGAATTACATCAAACTAGTAAAGGTCATTTTTTAGCTAGAGCTTGTACAGGTTTAATGTTGTCTCCAAACTATTCTTCGGTCATTCAGATTGCTTTTGGGCCTGTTTGAAGGTTGTGTTTAGATGTATCATCTAGAGCAAATTGGATCTCCTTCGAAGATGGAGTCATTTTTTTTTTTTTTTTTGAATGAACGATGTGAGGTTCTGAAAAAGTCGAGTTTGTGCTATTGTATAACTGTAATGCTGATAGGCGGGTAAGACGAACGAAAGAGTAGACAAAACGCTTGCTGTAATTTACTGTCTTACCAGTACAGTAGATGAAAGTCAATAAAAGCATAGTATATTTTTGCATCCTGTTTTTTGCTTGCTTCAGTCATTCACTACAATTTGTTTAAAAGGTCTTTCAAGACGTTCACAGCAATTAAGCGAAGGAGGTTTAGGCATTTTGCTGAGCTGCTGTAAGTTTGCAATTTACATGTAAAATTTAACCCTTTTAAGATTGTTTGAGAGCTGGATGTTCAATAAAATTGTTCATAATCGACGAATGTATTGCATTGAATATGAAGTGAAAACTAAAAAAAAGCAAAGCACTAATAAAATGAAATTCGAATAGATGTAGGATGTTACATCTCAGCATTTCAAGAACTTAGTTATATTTGAGACAAGAAGATTTATAGTTCACATTGAAGCATAACTATAAAACTTTCATTAAATCATAATAGAGACATGACTGAAATTATACCAACTCCTCAACCTCTTCTAAACCATCTCTTTTGCTGCCATTACAAGGACAACATAGACTTTTATTTATTTATTTCCGTATACATACATATATTCATATATATTTATTTATTTGTTTTTAAAGTAGAATTGAACCATTTAGAATGAACATAAAGTTAGCATAGTTTTATTTTACCAAATAGTCATGCAATAAATTTATTGCAAACGCAAGTCTTTAAGTGCTCTCCTAAAAACGAGCAAATAGGTTTCTGGAGCTTGAAAAACTCCACTGCCTCAACGATGGCTAATGTTTCATCCTTTATTTTTGTGGAAATTGCGAGAAACAAAAGAAAATTCATAGATGGAAGACGAAGTAAAGAAGACAAAAAGAGTTTTGTTGTTCTTCTGGTTTCCGGAAAAGGCAGCGAGGAGGCAATAAGGATAAAAGCAATTTTGTTAGCAACAAGAGCGAGATGAACAAAAAAAAAGGTTACCTTTGACCAGAAACTGAGAGAGTAAAAAGAGGTGTAAGGGGAAATTGTTATTCTTTTTTCGCATTTGCCGTCTTCAAGTGGTTTGTGTTTGGAGTGAGGCGGTAGCAAAACGTGGCGCCTAAAATCATAAGGTCTTTAAAATGTTTGTGAGAATAAATAAATGAATGAGGGAACAAAACAACAGAAACGTCAAGCTGTTTTCATGGAGTTGTTACTTGAATAAAAATTTTTTGCTTTTATACTTTTGATTTTTTGTGCTTTTTTTTTTTTTTTTTTTTTATTTTTTTTTTTTCTT